ATGCGATCGCATAGAACAAACAGCTGGACAACAGCAGACAGCAGATCTGCAACTTTTCTAAGGCTAAAACCATCCCAGAACACATCCGAATCACACCCGAGCCCTCGGGGCTCCTAACCAAACACATGGACTAACTCAACAACATCCTACGAACTTATCCCTGCGATCAAATCGCCAAATTAACATTAAAATCAATGGATCAAGCCTCAAAATCATCATTTTCATTTCAAACTTCTTAAACTTCTAACTTTAGATATTTAGGTCCGAAACACGTCAAATGACGTCCGATTTCGACCAAACTTTACAGAAAGCGCTTAACACATATTTAAGACTAGTACCGGGTGTCGGAACCAAAATACGAGCCCGATACCATAGTCTTTTAATCAATTTTCATTTCCATTTTCCTTAAGAATTTCAGAAAAACAATTTCACAGAAAAATTCATTTCTCGGGCTCTCGACCTCGAAATTCGACTCCGGGCATATGCCCGAGTCTCATATTTTTCTACGGACCCTCCGGGACCGCCAATCACAGGTCCGGGTCCGTTTACCAAAAATGTTGACCAAAGTCAACTTTAGCAATATTAATATCAAAATTCTTTAAATTTTTTCACCAAGTTCACATATTTCAACATAAAAGCTTTCCGGCTTCGCGCTCGGACTGCGCACGCAAATCGAGGCAACTAAAAGCGAGGTTTTTAAGGCCTCGGAAGCTCGGAAATAGGGAGAAGGCCGATGATGACCCTTTGGGTCGTCACACTTGTATGAGCTTTATCTCCAGTATATTATATTGTGTAAGTTAACTGAATTTTATTTATTTTTCTTTTTACAGGTTTGTTTACATGTTTTATGTATGGGGCATCAATTTCTGGGTGGAAGTATTGTAGACCACTGATTGTTGTTGATGGAACATTTCTAAAAAATAAATATAGAGGTGTTCTATTAGTGGCTTTTACCAAAGATGCAAATAACCAGATTTTTCCTATAGCTTTTGGAGTAGTGGATAAAGAGAATAATGAATCATATGAATGGTATTTCAGGGAATTAAGAAAAGCAATTGGGATTCGTAATGATTTAATGTTCTTGTCAGATCGACAAAAGGCTATTGCAAATGGAATTGCAAAGGTTTTCCCTGAGTGCTACCATGGAATTTGCATCTATCATTTAGAAAAGAATCTGAAGCAAAGAAGAGTGAGAAACACTGTGATAAATCTCTTTCAAAGTGCTGCAAGAGTATACCTTCAATCAGAATTTGATGACTTCATGTCCCAAATAGCTGCTGTTGATAAGAAAACTTTCAATTATTTGATGGAGGAACCGCCAGGAAGGTGGGCTCGTTCACATTGTCCCAGAAGAAGATATGATATGTTAACAACAAATATTGTTGAGTCAATGAATAATGTTTTAAGACGTTCAAGAGAATTGCCAATTTTAACAATGATGGATTTCATACAAGAAAAATTGCAAAGCTGGTTCTATGAAAGAAGGACACTTGCAGAAGGAATATTCCGTGATATATCAAATTGGGCAGAAGCAACATTGGAAGCAAAAATTCAACCAGCTTTTACATTTAGAGTATTGCCCATTGATAGACTCAAATTCAATGTCAAAGAAGGTGGTATGGAATTTATTGTTGATCTAGACAAAAGAACATGTGATTGTTCTGAATTTCAGCTAGATGAGATGCCATGTGAACATGCAATTGCTGCAATTGAGAGTATACATCAAAAGAAATCGGCCTTTTGCTCAGCCTATTTTTCAAGGGACTTTTGGTTGAAAACGTATGAAGGGCAAGTAAATTCTGTAGGTGATGCAACAACATGGGTTATACCAGACACTATTAAATCAGAAATCACTAAGCCTCCAGATGCCAAAGTACTGCTAGGAAGAAGACAGAAGAATCGACATGTTTCCGGTACAGAATTCAAGAAGGAACCAAGATGTAGTCGTTGCAAAAAATATGGGCATACCAGAACAAATTGCACAAATT